GGTAATTAATATGCATGGATTTTTACCAAAACCTAATCAAATCTGCGCATTGGCCCAGAGCATCTATGCACCAAGTTTCATCAAAAACTGATGTATGGTTCTTGAGATATCAGTGGAACAGACGGACACACACACACACACACACACCCATACAGACACACTAACTGCAAAGACTCCCTTTTTGTGCTTCGCACACGGGAGTCAAAAATAACAAAGCACAAAAACGTCAAAAGCAAACAAGGGAATCTTCCGAAATTCTGAACAGCGTGTGAGATGGGATACAGATTCACACTAGATATTCGCCGGGCGGGGATTGTTGGGGGAGACTCACAAAATAAATTAAGACGTGGAAATTGAAAAATCTTTTTTGCGTTTATATTGAGATTTGTTTAATAACCCTAAACACCTTACCGTGCGTAGACGTGACTATCTGTTTGAAAACCAATCATACTACGCGTTTTTTGTGTTGCAGCATGCATACCGAGTTTCAAGCCACTCCAGGGAATTTGAAAAGAGTTTTTTAGGCTGTCTCATAGTTACTAGTAATTTGCATTAGGGGGTCGACCATTTGAAACCAGGGGGGTGGCCGGACGATTTTTTTAAACAACAATTGCATGCTACACAGAGAGAAAAATTGCATGCAAAGTGTTTCAGGAAAAAGATACTGTCACAGCAAGAAAAAAGAAAAATGTACAGATGAGACATCGCGAAAAAATGTCCCCCCCCCCGTGATTTCAAATGCTTAACCCCACATGCAATTGTATCATATCGGCAGCAAGGATTGCTGCTATAGTTTCCAAACGATTTACAAAACCATTGCCAGGCAAAAACTTCACCGCTACCATGAATTGAACCCCGTATTATTATTATTCCATGCATTAATGAATTGAGGTAGTTAAATATATAAAATAATATTTACGCCTATGATTTTTTTTTTAAAACTTGAACCGCAATAATTTCACAAATCACGTTATATTCCCAAAAATTACAATGTTCTTCACTTTGCAATCTAGGTCATTTCCCATGCCAATATATTGAATACAAATTGAATTGTCGCCATGTGAAAATTCTGCATTTTGCCCTTACCCGTTCAATCTACTAAAATGGAACTTGCCTGCCCTCTGAATAAAAATCTTCTCCTACTGGAATTCCCCTCTGAGAAACCCTATTTTTAATGCCCTCCCACTGAAAATGGTTTATTTTGCCTGCCCGCTAAAAATCCCTTGCGAACACATTTTTTCACGAACAGCTCCGTTGACTGCACCTGAATATAATTGATTATATATGATATCATAGTTAAGTCTCATCGTTAGGCTCGCCCTGTGAGTGTCACTCGTGACTTTATACATGTATACAGCTCCACCCTCTCCACGCAAGAATTCTAGGAGGTGTTGCTGTCTAGATTCAAAACAGATTTGCAAATTAATATTTGCCTAAAAGAATTGACAGAGATTTATTGCTCAAGATAAGTCTGAATTTGTCGTCATGGTTATTTTATCGGACAGCCCAAGGTGGCAGCACGTCGCCCTTTATTCTCTGAGCGCTGTTACAGTACTGTTTAATAATAATTTGGTGAATGGATGAATAAAGATTGCAATTTACTTGAGCCGTCCTAATTTAGAACATTGTCATAACGTAATACATACAATTTAGCTGATATGGCCTACTTATTTAGATTATTCTAGACACCAGTTAATTAAAATAACAACATGCACTACTGGTCATGTTGCAGTTGTTGTAATATGGTGGTATCGACAGAAAGTTGGAAAATAATGTAACTATAACGACCCATGCACGCCTCCGATAAGTCAATATTACGGGTGCGTATTCATTATTACATGACATATGACCCCCCCCCCCCCCATAATGCCTTAAATACATGTACTACGCATTGCTCGAATGGACACAATTACTCTTTTAATTAGTTGTTCATTTCATTTTAATCCCGGCTCGAACGACTCATAATTGATCGAAACTACTCAAAGTAGACTTGTCTAGTCGTATAACCGATAACCTGTGTTCTTTGCGTCTGAATACCAATTATAAGGCGACATTGGGTCACGCACAACAACCTTGCCTTGTTCCGTCTCTCCATTGTGTTCGTTTTTAGCGTTCATTAGAATGCAAAACCTGTGGTGTGCGGCAGCCATTTTACCGGACGGGCTCGAACCACTTTGCTCTTCATTGGGAAACAGAATGACACGGTGATACGGAGTACGTATTTAAGGCACAAACCGTGTTCGTCAGTCAACTCTAACAGGCGAATTAGCGGCTGTAAACAAGACAGGAAAGTGGTCGAGAAAGTAGTCTGGTTCAAGCAAGCATTTGGAAACTTTTTTCCCCACCAATTGGGCGTTAAACTCAAAGATCGCTTCTCTCTGTTTTAACCGGTGAACTAATAGGCTATCACATTGGGGAAAGGAAGTATATCGACTATAAAATATGGCATCGCAACATGATAGTATGTTTTTAGAAGACGATTTGACCTGTTGCGTTTGCGCGGAAGTATTTGAAGACCCAGTAATGCTCTTTTGTGGACATGATCTTTGTCGAAAATGCTGCGAGGCGTTGTACAGGCAGTCACTTACAAAGAAGCATAACACGGGGAAATTTTACTGCCCTGAGTGCCGGGCCGACGTCGCATTGGAACAAGAACGAGGCGTCGATAGTCTACCCAGGAATTTCCGACTACAGAACCTATGCGATCGAGTGAAGCAGATGAAGATCATAAACCCCGTCGAATGTTTACCTGGTCTCAATGATGACCCGTATTCAACCCTAAGCGTGTCGTACATGAGAAGAAAGGTATGTGGTCTTATACTTAAACTCCGAGTTTCATTTGTGTAGACGTAGTTACCGTCAATAGATTGATACAAACCCTAATAAAAACAATCTAATTATACGAATCTGGTCGTGTCTTTTAACGAAGGAATACAGGAGCGCATCAAGTTGGACACGCTGTGGATATTAACATAATAACATATAAACACGAAACAAAGTATGCGGATTTTGAAAATTGATATAAGGATCACGTATGTAGTTTCCGCGTTTTGGAAGAAAGCGTAAGGGACCTTAAGGGTGTACATATATTTGTTAACTCCCCCATATAACACCGGAAAGTACCATCTGTAACCCTCCCTGCCGTTCAGTTGGTAATTTTGATGTTGTCATTATGAATTATTGCTGTCAACAGTGACTCTGCGTATCAGCTTGCGATTATTTGAATTAATAATGATAACGGCGGTATATTCTGCTCTGTTCTCGTTTTACCCAGGGAAGTGTAATGAGTCACATGGCTACCTTGGTAGAAAAAATTAAAGAAATGGAAAGATTCATCAAGACTCTGGACGAGAAATGCGAAACAGTGGAGGTAAGGACCAGGAGACAATGACGCCATTGTGGCTTGTCATGGCAATTGTGTTACCACCGGGTATTAAGAATCGTGTCACTCATCAAACTCACTGAGACACAATTGGACTTAATACGTAGGACGATTCGCTTTTCTAAGTATGTACACAATGCTTTGACCGGAACTACTTGGTGGACAAGGACAGCTCGACAACAACCAGACGTTTTGCGTTATACATTTGACATGAGTCGTCAAGGTCTTTACTTCCCAAATACCGGATGTGACGCCACATTTCAAAGTTAATATGTATGCTATTTTATAATAATAATAATAATAATAATAATAATAATAATAATAATAATAATAATAATAATAATAATAATAATAATAATAATAATAATAATAATAATAATGTATTGTTATAGTTTAGGCCTGTCATGTAGGAGAAATGCAAAATGTATAAATAGGTTCCCATTAATTTATTTATAAACTCAAATTAAATTCAGAGGGTAGTATTATGTTGGTATTACAGTAGATTATAAGAAACAACATTCACTAGAACTGAACCCACATATCAAACAACCGTAACTAGGGCCAGAAATCCTCTATTACATTACAATACATTATTCACTTCATAATGAATATCCATATGATTTACATAATAACATAGTATTTAATTTTTCTCGTGCGACTGGGGATGAAAAGTTCATTTTTCTAATGACAAATATAAATAGAAACACCACAGAGTTCATGTCAAAAGCATATACAAGAAAGCAATTAATTTTGTACATTATACAGTGAAAGTATTTATGTTATGGTTTGGTGTTTTTTTTATACACTGGTCACTATAAATAAAATAATTAACTAACTATACCATTAACAACATGCTGCATTTCAATTATTAGTTGCTCATAACAATTCCACATAAGTAACGGTAACAGGTGACTTTGAGTTTTCAGAATGTTATCTGTGGTATATTCTACGTGTGAAGGTGGTCGCATTGAAACATCGGACATATGTCTGGGATTGACGCATCGTCTGTAAATATAA